AATCATGCTGCTCACTTATAAATCCCTGAACAGTCAAGCTCCTCCATATCTGTGTCAACTCGTCCATTACTACAATCCGCCTCGTGCTCTCAGGTCTGAGGATAAGCTCCTCCTAGCTCTTCCAAACGCACGTCTGAAAAGCCGTGGAGAAAGGGCTTTCTCTGTCTGTGCTCCCAAGCTGTGGAATGCATTACCACTACTAGTGAGGCAAGCACCAACAATTAGTATTTTTAAATCTCGCATGAAAACTCACTACTTCAACCTTGCATATAATACATAATCATGGACCACTTTCGACATCTGCATTCTTTCTACAATAGAATGCACAATAATTAACATCTGTATTACTGTGGTTCTTTCTTATGTTTTTATCTGTTGTTTCACATTCCTTTGCGTTTTTAGTGTTTTACGACTGTTAGTTCGAGTATTTTCTTGTTTTCATTTTTTCTTATAAACTATGCTTTAAATGTCATTCTGAACGTGTTAATTTAACTGTAATCTTTTAATGTACAGCGCCTTGTCTGGTTGTAATGCCATGTTGAATGCGCTTTATAAATAAAATGGTATGGTATGGTATGGTTATGCTGACGATACTCAGTTATATTTATCCATTAACCCTGACGAACCTAATCGGTTGGGTAGATTACAGGCTTGTCTTGAGGATATAAAAAATTGGATGACTCTAAACTTTTTGCTTTTAAATCAAGACAAGATGGAAGTTCTCATCTTTGGACCAGAAATCCAGAAAAGGAAATTGCTTAGCCAATCACCTGACCTGAATGGCATTACATTAATCTCCGAGAACAAAGTAAGGAGCCTTGGTGTTATCTTTGACCAGGACATGTCATTCAAATCCAAGGTTTCACAAGTTTGTAGGATTTCCTTTTTCCACCTTCGGAATATTGCTAAGATTAGAAGCATCCTTTCCAGGAGTGATGCTGAAAAACTAGTTCATGCATTTATTACATCAAGACTGGATTACTGTAATCCATTACTCTCAGGAAGTCCACAGAATGTAGTTAAAAGTCTTCAGCTTGTCCAAAATGCTGCAGCTAGAGTTCTGATGAGAATTAAAAAGAGAGATCATATCTCTCCTGTCTTAGCTTCCCTACATTGGCTACCTGTTCAATTCAGAATAGATTTTAAGATCCTTCTTCTCACATATAAAGCTCTTAATAATCAAGCTCCATCATACATTAGGAATCTGATTGTTCCATACGTTCCTAACCGAGCATTTCGCTCTCAGACTGCAGGTCTACTGGTGGTTCCCACAATATCTAAAATTAGGATGGGAGGCAGATCTTTTAGTTATCAGGCTCCTCTCCTGTGGAACCAGCTCCCAGCCTTAGTCTGTGAGGCAGACACCTTGTCTACTTTTAAGAATAGGATTAAAACATTTTTATTTGATAGGGCCTATGGTTAAAATCTGATGTTAGCCTAGATCTGGACAAGTGGGGGAGTAGAGGGAGGTGGAGTGTACAGTCGGTAAAGACGGCTCTCCCTTGCCCTGCCTCCAACATGCCTCCATCTAAAAGGCTAGGTTATCCAGAGTTATCTCTGTAGTTATGCTGCTATAGGCTTAGGCCTAGTCCACACATAGCCAGGGTTTTTAAAAACGAATATCCGCCCCTCCAAAAACTTACATCCACACCACCTCGTTTAAAAAAAACTCTGTCCACACGTACCCGGATAAATACGTTGTTAAGGACATGCCAGACCTGTAGGCGGCAGTACTTTCCCCGTTCTTAACCTCGTCCTTCGTCTGTGGTCTTCCGCAAGCAGCAGTAATTCCGCTTGCAAGAACAAACAAGCAAAAAGCGCTTGGACAATTGATAAAGCGAGCGCAGCTCTGAGGGCATCCATGCTGTCGGCTAGTGTAAACACAGGTCGCACACGTGATGTCAGCATTTTTCTGTCGCGGAAAGTGACGTTGCGGACCTTAAAACTCCGGTTTTGTCTGTCCACACGCAGACACCCAAAACCGAGAAAACGCAGATCTTCACTTTGGCCGGAGTTTTTAAAAAGATCAGTCTTCGTGTGAAAAAACTCCGTTTTCGTGTGGATGACAGGCCAAAACGTAGAGAAATATCTACGTTTTGGCAGATCCCCGGCTACGTGTGGACAGGGCCTTAGACTGCTGGAGGACACACTGACCACTTTTCACACTCTACTACTTTCTTCTACAGTCTGCTCTTTAACTGTATTATTTTCTGCTATTTCATCTGTTAACTTTATTTTCTCTCTAAGTGTTTTTCTCCCCAGAAGAAGCTACAACGATGTTCTGCTGAGCTGTGGTGGCCTCATGGGGGGGGGGGGGGGGGGGGGGGGGGGGGGGCATCGACTAGCACACTGCTGCTAACCACTTAAACATTCTCCCTCTCCTGATAATAACTTTATGCTTTCCTTGACGTTGGACGAGCTACTACTAGTTTACCCGTTTAATTATAGATCCACTAGGATAAATACAATAAAGTTTATCTCTCACCAAATAGAATATTTACTAAGAAATCACAATATAAGTATAGACACATTACTTGTCTTTGTGTGTGTGTGTGCGTGCGTGCGTGTGTGTGTGTGCTCTGTTTTCTCGATCCCCAGTGAGTCGTGGAGGATGGATGCTTATCCTGAGCCAGGATTCTCTGGAGGTTTCTTCCTGTTAAAAGGGAGTTTTCCTCTCCACTGTCACCAAATGCTTGCTTAGTATGAGAATTGCATCACTAGTCAGTGACTTGATGCTTGTACCGATTGGCTTAATGAATTGACCTGTATGGGAATGTTTACTTTGTGAAGTGCCTTGAGAGAACTCGTGATTTGGCGCTTTATAAATAAACTTGAATTGAACACACGGACAAAAACCGAATGACATGTAAGAGAGACGTTACAACACCCTCGAGTATGTTAGCGGTTTGAATCTTTGGTTTGCACTTTTCGTGACTCTTCCCAGAATTCATGGTGGTAAAGCTATATAAAAAAAAACCAGCAAAGCTTAAATACCAGAAACATGGCGTTGTTTCTTTTCATCTGACAAATAAACTTTATGAGGAAGGGCATTGTTTTTCCTGTGTTGTTGCTGTGAGCATCATGGGTAGGACGTAGAAAAACCCAAGAATTTTAAAACAAAGCAGCTCAGCTTTGTTCACAGCTCTTCCCACCAGAGCAGAACGGGCAGGCGTGCACCTCATGGGCTACATAAACATTGGATTGAGTTAGCAGCAGCCCTGAACCTTTTGGCTCTATAAGACTAAACAGTAAAAAGTCATTATTGCCCATTTTCATCCATCCTTAACCTTTCTGAAACAATCCAGTCAGTCTTATTTGCACTGTGGGTTGAATCGCAGCAGACTGATGCTGAAAATGCAACAATTTAAGCAGATTCTTGCATATAGGGGAGAGTGAGAAGCACCATGTTTTACTTAAAATGCTCAAGTTGTTCTCAATCAACTCAAAGTTTACCATCATAGATATGTAAAAGAAACCTTTTTAAATGACGTTTAAATGATGTAAACAGAAATTTTGTATTTGTTTTCTGTAAAATACCGTACACTCCAATATAAACTTCAGTAAACGGGTTATGACTTAAGACATACACTCACTGGCCACTTTATTGGGTACACCTGTCTAACTGCTCGTTAACACTAATTAATAATCAGCCAATCACATGGTGGCTGCTCAATGCATTTAGGCATGTTGACATGGTCAAGACGATCCGCTGGAGTTCAAACTGAGCTTCAGAATGGGGAAGAAAGGGGATTTAAAGAAAGAATTATCTTTTCTATACCGCCTCTCAAGATATAAATCATGAGGCGCTTCACAAAGGAAAAAAATTAAATTATAAAAAAATGTATAAAATGATTAAAAATATGTTTGAAATGAGAAATAATAAAAACTGTGATTAAATGATGTAAGGAGAGAGAGAGAGAGAGTAAATGAAAAGGAGAGAGGGAAATCAGTGGATCCTGGGAAAGGCGGAGTGATGAAGGTCACGTAAAAGCAGCTTGAACAGGTGAGTCTTCAGCTGCTTTTTAAAGGAGACCACTGAGTCCAATGATCTCAGGCTCAGGGGGAGAGAGGTCCAGAGTCTGGGGGCCACAGCAGCAGATGATCTGTCACCTTTGACCTTTAGCCTGGAGGAGAAGCGGGGTGATGTGGGTGTGTTTGGAGGACTTGGTCAGAAGCCGAGCACAGGCGTTCTGAACCACCTGTAGACGGTTCAGGGAGGTTCTGCTCAGACACGTGAAAAGAGAGTTACAGTAGTCTAAGCGTGAGGAGATGAAGGTGTGGAGAACTGTCTCAAGTTCAGAGCGCGACAGAATGGGACTCAGCTTAGCAACGTTCCTGAGATGATTAGGTGACTTTGAACTTGGTGGCATGGTTGTTGGTGCCAGGCGGGCTGGTCTGAGTGTTTCAGAAACTGCTGATCTACTGGGACTGTCACACACAGCCATCTCTAGGATTTACAGTGAAAGGTCAAAAAAGGGAAAACCTCCAGTAATCGGTAGGTCTGTTGGTGCCAGACGGGTTTGAGCTGATGGAAAGGCAACAGCAACTCAAATAACGACTCATAACAACCAAGATGTGCAGCTGACAAATCTGCAGCAACTGTGTGACGCTAGCACGTCAACATGGACTAAAATCTCTGCTCCCAGTGGCTTGTTGAATCTATGCCACAAAGGATTAAGGCAGTTCTGAAGATAAAAGGGGGTTCACCCTGACAAGGTGTTCCCAATAAAGTGGCCAGTGAGTGTAATGCGCACAGCCCTTCCTCCAGCTGCCTTTTATATTATTACTTTATCAGAGCAACAAAACAGATGACTATGCCAAAATATTCCTATGAACACCTCAATTGTCCATTTATTCACTTGGGAAAGATGAGAGCCCTCTCTCCATCATGACGCCAGCAGCGACCACCGAACCACGCTTCATAAAGCTTGTAGCTGCTAAACATTTATGTTGGCCGAGAAAGAGCAAAGTCTTTAAATGAATGTTGGGTAGGTTCTTACCTAGCACCATGGTCATGTAGCGCTCCTCTACCCCAGCCTCCAACAGTAGGGGGGGCACATATGTGATCCCAGCTGCCACACAGATCTCCAGGCCACAGGTCAGGGAGTTCAGCAGGATGAGACGCCACTGAGCCCTCCATCCAGGCATATTTACGGGGGCAAACTTGCCTTTCCTCCCCTCTGACAGAGTCACTACTGAGGGCAGGGGCAAGGGGTGGAGCTCGAGGTGGCAGACAGAGCCCCAGCGGGGCCTAAGGACCGTCGAGGGTGGACAGCGGCAAAGACATGTGAATGTCTCAGATGACCCAGAGGATTCATTCTCTTCTCCGCATTCTGGATCTGAAGAGCAAAGGAGAAAAAAAAGTGTTCGAATTTCAGACAACATGTCATTTTATAAAATGTGGGTAAATGCTACGGCTTTTGGAAGAAAAACGGCAGCCCACATCCACCGGAAACAAGAGCGGTCATAAACAGATGTGCACCAAAAAGGCTTCCCTATAAAGTTGTTTTTTCTTCAGGAGACATTTAGGACACAACCCCATCCTAGAGACGTACGCAGGCACATCAGTGCAACACACACTTGTTCGTTTCTCATTTTCAGGCAGTTCGTTATCCTGAAGTTTCACAGGGAATAGTTACGATGGGTTAGGGTTACGGAGAGCACAGCTGTAAGACAATTAGATAACCCACCAGCTTCACCTTTCCATGAAGCCGCTGGGCCATGAGAGCAGAACATCCATTCTTCCAAAGAAGTTTGGTATTTTTTATCCAGCAATGAATAGAAATGATAACAGAGTTGGGTTTTCTTTTCCACCATCCCTTGTGACATCTTCTCCGTAGTAACTCCTGTATTAAACACACTCTCCCTCTGCCTGACTGTCAGCACGTGTATTATTAAACTCTGATTGCTGCTTCAGTCGTATCAGGGCCCTCCTACAGATCTTTAGCAGATTCTTCAGACATGTTGTCTAGATGGTTCTGGGCAGCCCTCAGCACGAGTGACTCACTCCCTACTTTCTGCTGAAGGATTCAAAAATATAAATGAAGGATGGTAAATGTTTATTTTCTGCATAAAGTGGCAAAGAACCTCACCTCTTTCTTCCTTTTAGAAATGCTCCTCAACACCCATTTACTCTCTCTCCCTCATGTAGTTTCATAATAAAACCGTTTTAGTCACGATAAAAAAGGTGGACATTGCTGCCGTTAACCAATGAGATAAACGTCCTTGTGGTGTGAATAACCACCAACACAAAAACAAGCAGGTTCTAGATTTGCATCTGCTGCGACATTTCTCTGCCAGTGCCGCCCATCTGTTCTCTCCTAGCGTAGAAAATCAGTGTCATCATGTCTAACTGGACTATTACACACACGTGCTCCGCCAGAGGGTGGACAACCTCTGCAGTTAACCTCTGACTTGTTTACAGCTTTGCTAGATGATAAATAAGTTCTTAGAGAGGAAGAAACAAACAGTGATGGGACTGCAGGAGTCTGGAAGAAAACAAGAATTATTCCGCCTGATTTTAGTTTATGACAATCACATTAACTCAGAAACGCCCTTGAGTGTTTCTGTGGTCTAGGTGTGGTCAGCATTTTCATCACTGGAGGTGGGAAATCAAAACACTTTTTTGCCACTAATTTCAAGTTGTTATTATTAGACCATTTTTATTATGTTTGACATAAAAAGGTACATGACTCATGAGTCCTTTCATATTTTATTTTAGGTCTTCGTTTATTCCCCTAAATGGAAGATAAACTTTTCCTGGTGTCGTACAGGGTGGCCCATGGGCGTAGGAACGGGTTAATATTGGAGGGGACACGTCCCACCCGCCATTGTGTGCAAAAAAACCCCATGAACTTAAATAATTTTTCATTCTTTATTGAAAAACAACAAAATACAGGTAAACAGAAAGTGTGGGGAAATGATAATGTGACAGTATTGCTCTTTAAATGTAATTCTAAACTATTTACAAAACCAGTGGGGTTGTCACCTTGTCATTCCTACTTACCTGTACTTTCCTTCTTAGAAGATGTTTTTGACCTTAAAGGAAGAGTAGATTGTAGGTACAGGTGTGTCCTTCAGGCAACGTCTCCCCTAAAATAAAAAAAAATAAAATCAAATAAAGATTCACACACACACACACACACACCAGACATGGTCAATTTCAGTATCTCAAAAACCCACTGGTACACCAGAGCACCGTGTGAGTGTGTGTGTGTGTGTGTGTGTGTGTGTGTGTGTGTGTGTGTGTGTGTGTGTGTGTGTGTGTGTGTGTGTGTGTGTGTGTGTGTGTGTGTGTGTGTGTGTGTGTGTGTGTAAAAGCCATGTGGAGAGTTTATTTATAAAGCATATGTTGTTAGATTTTATCCAGAATCCAGACTTTGAAAACATATATTTTTATTACAGTTTGATTTATTTGACAACAGTAGAATGTTTATTATTTTGTTAATTTCTCCTTAAATGCCTAAAGTTTTAGTTTAAAATGAATATTTTTCATTCATCCCAATACATAAAGTTACACATTAAAGACTCAGAATAAAGATCAATAGAATTAGATGGAAATTAATAACGTGATTGTTTCCCATCTAAACAGGCCCAGTCACAGACAGTTGAAGGGAGGGGGACATTAGTTCTTGTTACACAGCAATGTAACATCTGTATGTTATACAGCTAATGCTTCAATTGTTTCAATCTTAACCAAAATATGTAGTAATGTGTTTGTACCCTGGAGTCCGTGGTGAAGTGATGACTCTCAAAGTGTTCACTGCACAAGCGGGAGTGTGAACTGGGAGTCCTGCACTCTCTTCTTTGGTTGCTTACCCAAAGGTCAAGCCTCTCTGGATCACCTAGAGGAAAACTTCATACAAAGAACTACTTAAGCATATGGGTTTAAAATACTTAACAGCTTATCCTGGCCTGTAGTAAAAGGTCTAAAATTAGGATAAAGAGTAATACAAAATGCATATTTATAAAAAACAATATAAAACCAAACACTTGAGTCTATCGCCTTATTGGATAGGATATGAACCTTTTAATAATCAATTTTATTAACTACTTTTCATTTGATTAAACTGCACTAGTTCCCATGAGAACAGGGCACCCGGTCGCGGCTCTTTGTGGACAGATTAGTTATTTAGTCGCTCCCCACCACCACAATTTTACAAATATGCTAAAATAAATAAATAAATAAAGCGAGCGAGTTTATCTGATGGCATACAGACTTCTGGAGACCAACATCAAGCACTATCAACCAACTCACCGAGCTGCAGTATTTCTGTGGTCAGGTCTCTCTCCGAGTCCGAGAGCTCCACAAGCGGTCAGCCCGCGCAGCAGCCAGGCGCCGAAGCCGTCAGAGATGCGCCGGGCTGACCGCTGGGGAGAACCGGGTGGAAGGATGGAACACAGAAGTGTCCCTCCGAGAGCTCCCCCAACATGTCATATTTCAACCCATTTTTATGTGAAATGCACTGGGTTTTACACCCATCCACACATATACCCTATTAATTATTTTACCGTATTACATCTAAATTTCATGGTTTAACAGCACTTTTCCCTCCTTCCTATTCACTCTCTCTCAACAGTTTTTCTTTTAAATCCCAATTGCCTATTTTTGCTCATTTTAAATATATTTTTAAACATTTTTTAAATGCTTTTTTATATTTTAACATTTTTTTTGTTTTTGTGAAGCTCCTCGTGATTTTTATCTTGAGAGGCGCTATAGAAATGATATTTTCTTCTTCTTCTTCTTCACATGTTAAAATGGTAGTTAGCTAGCTACTCTGATAAGCTCAGCTAGTGCAAAAGCAGCAGTGACCTAAAATACATAAATGTAATTTTACTTACCGATAAAAATGAAGTGGAGACTCCTTGGACGCTCTATTAGTGCAATTAATGCCACAGCAAGTCATTTTGTCCAACAGTTGCACAAAAAATATCCAAAACAGAATACACACACACAGAGACTCAAAATCCCGGAGCAGTTTCCAGGCCAGACCGAGGCTCTACTGAGGCCTTTCCCCGGAGCTAGCTCTGTGGTCACGTGGGTCTGATGCTCATTAATTATACAGAATTTTAGGCTTTTAATACACTTAAACAGAAGAGTGAGAAAAACATTCACCCCCCTCAGAGTTGTCATGAGTGTAAACTAGATCATTTAAACCAAAAACATGTTCTGGTACCAGGCTGTAAACATGTTTATTTCTGCTGTGAAATTGGTATTTTTAACATGGGAGTCAATGAGGATTTGCTCGCTTCTGACACCAGCCCCTAGTGGATGAGGGTGGAACTGCAATTTTTGTCCCAATTTCAGACCCGAATTGTGGGGGCTTGTTTCACACCCTTCAGATCCCCCTCCCCCCAGTCCATGCACATTGAAAGACAAGCATCGGGGGTCCTTGGCCTCGGCTTGTCTGCGCCCCCCCCCCCCCCCCCCCCCCCCCACACACACACACACAGTCTCCATCCTCATCCTCTGAATTTCTTCCTCAAACTTCTCCGAGCCCTGAGGGTCAGCTTCATGTCTGACCTGCATTCTTTAAACAAGCGTTTTGACATATCTGCCCACCATCCGTTATGCCTCTGTGGTTCTGATCTCAGTGTGAATGCTTTCTGTTGGCGTCCCAGCTGGCTCTCTGTCAGACTTTCTCACTGGAAACACAGGAGTCCCTGGTGGTTAGAATAAAGAAATCTGGTTTGTCTTACCGAGCAGCCAAAGCTGGTCTGGACACTAAACTGAATGGTTGCTTCATTCTTAACCCGACTGGCATGAATCAGAAACGATGGAAGGGCTGAAAACCAGTGGGAAAGAATGAGGAGAAGAAGTTGTGCAACAAGGTCATCAATCATTCATTCATTTAGCTCTCTCAAAGTCAAACACAAAGAAGGAAAAAGTCTAGTTGTCTACTTGTTGATAAGGTGTTACGACTAAAGAGGGAAAAAGGTTTTCACATTTCTGTTTTTAAAAGCTGAAGAGCAAAACAAACGAGTGCATTCAAACGCTGACTCCATGCCTTTGCTTTCAAGATCCGACCCCAGACTACGCAGCGTACTCGTCGTGCCCTTTAACTGCACGGATCCTTGGAGACAAAAACGCACACTCACTCAGCACCACACAGGGCTGCAGCTCACATGATGTGTTTTCACACTAAAGTCTGAGTCTAGCTGTGATGGTGGGGAAGTGGAGGATGCTTGCTTTTGTCAGCTCTCCCACCGCTCCATTACCAAGTCCCGTTCATACACAGCCACACAAACAATCTGTACTAATGACTCTGAGTGGTATTCTAATACAAAACAGCCTTTGTATACAACTCTGAGCCAGAAAGACTAATGTTACATAATGAGGTTGCAAATGTGGTTAGTCTTTTAGAAATAAAAGTTTATATAGATGGTGTGTGTGTGTGTGTGTGTGTGTGTGTGTGTGTGTGTGTGTGTGTGTGTGTGTGTGTGCGTGCGTGCGTGCGTGCGTGCGTGCGTGCGTGCGTGTGTGTGTGTGTGTGTGTGCTCTGGGGTGACTGGTCCACGGCACAGTTGAGGCTGCTGCTGCAGAAGACTCAGCAGGAGGGTCTGGTTGTCTGTCCGGCTCTAACTGAACGACTGCAGCGCGGTGGCGACTCTCCTGCACGTTAATGGACTTGACAGACTGTGTGGAGAAACAAGAGGAGCAGCTTCTAAAATCACTGCCTGCCTGGTTTGGCTCCTGTAAACTCTCCTCTGGGAAACCCTGCACAGACGATGAAACGGGGTAAATCAAAATGTACACCAAAACTCGCCGAAGCAACGTTTATCTCGCCACCGTCTGAAAACCCAGTCACCGTAAAAAGATACCACTGTTTAGAACTTTTGTATACTAACCCACTTTTAACAGATTTAACTTCTGTTGCAGACAATAAAAAAAACATAGCGACTTTCACCAAACAGAAAGCGTCTTGGTGTACCTCTGCTCACTTGAAGCAGCTTTGACCAAACCGAATCTACCTCCTGAGCTCTTAACCTTAAGCCCACATCTGTAGCTGTGACCTCTGACCCCACCTTTCACCACAAATCATATAACTGACCTAACATTTCAAAGACACCGCCAGCAACAGGAGACGTCTTTGTGGTTTAATGAAACGAACTGTCTCCGTTAATTAGAAAAGAAGAGCTTCTGTTAGGAGAGGAACACACTAAAAACACTTTTACAAATCCTGATGTAGCTAGATCGCAATTTACTGTATTTAGAACAACGACTCAGAGTAAATCCTTAAAAAGCACAAAGATCCTAAGAAATTAACACCTTTTTAAAAAATGTTAAATTGGATGTAAAAGCAGCCCTTCCCAGTTAGCTACGTGTATTTTACACACAAATAACACATTCTTTTTTTTTTTGTGGTAAAATCCAAACTCCAAACCCTAAAAATGTGCACGAGGAAGTAATCCAAATAACATGCACTTGTCAGCTGAACAATTACATCTATATTCTAATCCTGCAGTAGGATTAGTGTGTTTATCTGAAGAAAAGCTGAGGGAAGTCTACGCTCTGCCCCGATGACAGAATGAAGCCACTTATCCCCCGAGGAGCATGCATATCATACTTGCTGATGCAAACAGTACAACAAAGGATTGCTGCAGAGTTTAGCTGTGTGGGCTCTCGTAAGTCAGTAGGCCTTTTCACTAAACAGATCTGCGATATGTTCCCAAAAGACGACACCCTGGCTGGTCTCACACAGGGCTTTGGGACGTGACGTCGCACGACAGGGTACGGTCAGGATTGTGCCAGGCCCAACGAAGTGCTAACTGTGGAACAAAATGAAAGCACGTTAAAGAATAAATCAGGGACTGTTCGGACTTGCTGTGTAGTTGGTTGCAATGTTAGGTTGCACGACCAGCAAGGGAATAAGCTTAAAAATCGGCTTTCTTTTCATTGTTTCCCCGTTTGGAAGCAATGTGAGGAGACCATGTATCGAATTAGGGATGCAACGATACCCCTTTTTCCAAACCGATACGATACCGATACTTGGATCCGAGTACTCACCGATACCGATTACCGATGCCGATACTTCTACCACACAAAAAAATGTAATGATTTGGAATACAGGTTTTATTTTCTTCTCTGCTTTCAACAGGAAAAGACTGTGAGGTAGATAAAAAGTAAAATATATGAATAAAAATCATCACAAAACTAAAATATTAGGTGAACAGAAATGACAAGTTACAGTGAAGCCATTTTCAAGCAACAGCATTGGTATTGGTTAACTTGTACCGATACCGATACTGGTATCGGCACTAGGGTTGTCACGGTGTGAAAATTTAACCTCACGGTTATTGTGACCAAAATTATCACGGTTTTCGGTATTATCGCAGTATTTTTTTAAACGTGTTACATTTTCAGACAACTAAATAAACCCTGTATGTCAGGAAATATTGTACTCTGTGTCTAAATGTAGCCTAAAATGTGTTATTTTGTAATTATGTTGTTTATTTGTTTACATTTTTCCCCTTTAGTCTTTAAAATACCAATATTTGCTCATAACTTCTTATTTTATGTCTGTTTGATGTCATCATTTAAAAAGTATTAGACCAGATGATACTCAGTACTCAAGTAGCCTTCTAATCAGATACTTTCTTACACTTACTTGAGTAATAAACCCTGTATCAGGAAAATATTGTCCTCGGTTTGTGTCCTTCCAGTGAGCTTTGCAGATGTGGGAAAATGTCATCAGGCAGTAATCGTTGTTAAATTCATAATTATTCTCGGAGAGAGACCAACTCTTATCTGCCCCTGGGAGCCCCGTAATGCATAGCATCATTTCAACATGGCGGTGTCCGCGACACGGTTTATATGCAGGTAGCGGCGCTGCGGCTGCTTTATATAGCGACTCGTTGCATTCTCCCTCAACTCAAATCCTCGGATCACGCATTTTAGCTAAAACGCTAACGTTAGCTTGCCTTGCGTTGACTGTAGAGTTGTGGGTGATGGTCACGCAGATGTGTCATGAGATTTGAAGCGTTGCTGCCTTTCACAGACACTTTTTCTGCACGTGCTGCAAACAGGATAGCCGTCTTTTATCAGCTGTCCCTCGGCATTGTTCACATATCCACAAGTTTCCCGTACTTCCCACTTTGTCTTCTTTGAGGGATAATAAATGTCCTCCTGAGTGCTGCCGTCTCCTCCTTTGGCCATTATTTCAGCTTTAGCTTCAAGAAAGTTTTGGTTGTAAACAACAAAGTGCGCATGTGCCGCCGTCAACTTCAGCAGATGATACGGTGGCTGGTAAGGGTCACCGCGCCTACACCGCAGCCACGGTAATCCACAGAGATAATATAGTTTTAAAAACAAGACAGTTATTATTATTGTCAACTTTTTTACCGGGGTTTACCGCTACACCGGTTACCGTGACAACCCTAATCGGCACAGATACCGATACTGGTATCAGTGCATCCCTATATCGAATGGGACCAAAAGACATCTAGTCTGGACAGCAGCGATGAGACGAGTCGATATCCAGTTCTCTACCGTCCCCAGATATGTTCTCGTGCTTTCCTGACCTTTTAATTCTTAAAACTTCTCAATGCCCAAATCTCTCCATTTGGCTGTTGTGTTTTTCGATGCACCCAGAGGTTTAGTTTAGTTTTATTAAGATCCCCATTAGCTACTGCAATCACAGTTGCCTGGGGTCTAAGAATTTGTAAACAAATACTCTGTTTGGTTGTTTTTACAGTGACATTGTGCATTTTTCCTGGCGATAGGGGGCAGCAGATAAATCATTGCAAGCAAGCAGTATTTTTGTGTTGGAGTGAGACCTTACCAATGGATGCCTATTAGGGTCAAAAAGCCCTGGGGAGTGCAAACTTTAGCTAAATAACAAGCATATCAGACTCCCTTTCATCACTGGCAACAGGTGGAGAGGTAAATGTTACACAACAACATTTAAGAATGTCGAAAGTTTTGTAACCATTTGTTACAAATCAGTAAATGCATTTTGTCCTCATGGGCTCCCGTAGAAGGAAATATGACATCTACTATGGCGTCACCCAGAGACTTAGACCCGCTTTCATGTATTTTAGACCTGATTTTTATGGTTACATGTTACGAAGTTGGCAATATTTTTCAACAACTAGGCATCATTTATTCATTTTCAACAACATTTTGATGGGTATTTCCAGAAATTAATGGTAAAAACCACACATTGTCTCTTTAAACATCGCCAGCAAGACAAAAGAAAAACTAGACAACAGCACAGCAGACCATGAAGGTGAGACCACCACAGATCTTATAGATGCTTCTAGAGATGCACGTGAGATAAGAACACCATAATCACTTCATGATGGAGTCTATGGGCAAGGAGTGTGTTGGAAAACCGGAAGCTGTGGCAGGAGCAGCGAACGTCGAGAG